GCGGATCTAGTGACCTTCGGTCCATCCCGCCACCGTGCCGGGGTATTGAGAATGAGACGAAGTGAAAGTTCGTTGGGCTCTCTTGGGAGGCTTCTCGCGGGCCGTTTTGGGTCCTCTTGGGGCCTCTTTTGGGCCTCTTGGGGGCCTTTGGGGGCGTCTTGGGGGCCTCTCGGGGGCCTCTTGGGACCTCTTGGGCGCCTCCTGGGGCCTCCTAGGGCCGTCTTTGGGCGGGATGCGCCGTTTTTCGATTCGGGTTCTCCCTCTTGGGCCCCTCTTGGGGCCCTCGTGGGCCTTCTTGGGAGCCTCTTGGGCCGTCTTGGCGCCCTCTTCGGCCGTCTTGGGCGCCTCTTGAGAGTCTCTTGGGCCGTCGCGGGTCGGTCTTGGGGGACTCTTGGACTGTCTTCGACGCCGTGAAGACGAGACAATCGTATATACTAAAAATCTAGGCTTCCCCGAAGAAATTTGACGATTTTGGCCTCTTGGGCCCCCTTGAGAGTGCGCTTGGAGGCCTCTGGGGCCCTCATGCGGGCCCTCTGGAGCCGTCCTGTGGCCTTCTAGGGACCCTCTTGGGCGCTCCAAGAGCGATCTGAACACACAGGCGGCCTGGAGCCAACGCCATCTCCATTTTATAGAGGATGTCCCGAGCGACACGGCCAATTTAGAAACCTGACCTGACAAGAACGGGAAACGCCGCAATAGTCTAATGGGCGCATTGGGAGAAGAAGAAAAGGAAGGCGAGGACAACGAGGAGTCGATGACGAGGACGACGTGGCGAACATGAGGATAGCGAGGAGAAGCATAGAGGAAGAGAAGCACAAGGACGAGGACGAAGAAAACGAGGGCGAGTACGAGGAATGCGGAGGGCGATGATGACGACGGCGACGACGACGACGACAGAGGACAGTACGAGGCAATTGGAGGAAGACGTTGCTCCTGGCGCCACGCGGGGTTCTCTTGGGAGCGAAACGGCCAAGTTAGAAACCTGACCAGACAAGAACGGGAAGCGAATGTTCGAACGCGCGTTGCAGGTGGAGCATCACATGGGGACGTCAAAGCTGGAACGCTTGAGCGAACAAGGCGACGGCTATTTAGGGGCGTCTTCGAAAGTGTTTGCGTCACAATGGTGCTCTGGATGCCTTTGTGGGTTCTTCAGAATCTTTTCGGGGTTGTCTGGCGGTTCCTGTGAGAGCTGCTATTGAAAGTCCTGGGGTCCTGGTTCGGTTCGTCTTGGATCCGTTTTGGCTCCGCCTTGGGCGTCTTGGAGCGACCGTTCGGCGTTTGGGGGCGCTTTTAAGCTTGCTTGCCTTGGGCGTTTTGGAGCGAACGTTCGGCGTTTCGGGGCGCATTTAAGCTTGCTTGGGAATCACGACGCGAAGGGCGGTTTGGGAGGACCAGGGCCCTTCGTGGCTGCCGACGACCACGAGAACGGCGAACATGACGATGAGGACAACGCGAAGAGCGCTGTGGCAAAAACTGTCGGGAAAATATCTAGAGGCCTCGTGTGGGCCTCTTGGCGCCTAAACCTGGTGGGTCACTTGAGGCTTCTAGTGGCCGCCCTTGAATTCTCTGGGGCCGTCGTGGGGCTCTCTTGGGCCGTTGCAGGGCCGTCTTGGGACCCTCTTGGGGGTATGTTGAGCCTCTTGGGGAGCTTCTTGGAAGCCACTTGGGACCTCTTGGGGCCTCTTGGGGCCTCGTGCGGCCCTTTTGGGACGGAAAGCTAGACTTTTCGGTGCGTTGTTCTCTTCTGGGGCTCCTTTCGGGGCCATCTTGGGGCTCTCTTGGGCCGTCATGGGCCACTCGTCGGCCGTCTTGGGGCCCTGTTGGCTCGTGCCCGCACGAAAGGTGTTACTTCTATCGGGCGGGTGTGCACATCTCGTTGGTGCGTCTTGGCGTACTTGGGGGCGTCTTCGAAAGTGTTTGCGCAGCAATGGTGCTCTGGAAGCCTTAGGGGGGGCTTTCAGAATCCTCTCGGGGTTGTTTCGTGGTTCCTGTGCCAGCTGCTTTCGAAAGTCCTGGAGTCCTCGTTTGGTCCGTCGTTGAGCAGTCTTTGGAGCCTCTTGGGCCCGCCTGAGCAAGTTTCTCGAAGTTTCCTGAGTCGTAGATATGATCCTCGGCCTAGAGGAAGTTGTCTGTACGAGTGTCAGGTCTTCAGTGATGGGCTCACTCAAAGTTCCTAGGTCGGCCGTCCTCAGAGTCATCGAAATCTCGTCTACTCTGTTAGACCTAGGTTTTCTATTCGGGTATCCCACTAGCTTTCGCATAGGCTTGCCTTCCAAACGCTTCCCGGAAACTAACTTAGGTTAAATTATGAGTGTGCGCGAACGGCCGGTATTACTTGTATGATGCGCGGACGACCAGTTGCCACGCGGCCCTCGCGTCCACCGCCAAGATCACGAGCTATCCGCCGTCCCTTTGGGGTCCACTCGGCATGTGAGACTGGTGCCCCTCTCAGACTCCTCCCGCGAGCACTCGGTCCGCCCGGCTTGCCGGGGGGGGGGTATCCAGTCAGACGGACTAGATCCCTCACCCCTCCGAGGAATGCACTGGATGCCTCCAGCCGCCTCTGGGCACTCGAAGATGCTCCAAGACGGCCCAACATATGTTGAACACGACCGGAGAGAATCCGAAGACGGTCGAAGAGGCCTGTAACATGAAGCCCTCTTGGGTCCCTGTATCCGAGCCCTCTTGAGCGGCCCTGCGGCCGTGTAGCCCGAATTCGGGATAAGGAGGTGGAGTATCTAGTGGCGTTCGGTCCATCTCGCCAGTGTGCGGGGGTATTGGGAATGAGACGAAGCGGAGGTTCGCAGGGCTCTCTTGCAAGGCTTCTCGCGGGGCGTTCTGGGGCCTGTTGGGGCCTCTTTTGGGTCTCTTGGGAGCCTTTTGGTGCGTCTTGGGGGGTCTCTCGGGGGCCTCTTGTGACCTCTTGCACGCCTCTTGGCGCCCCAGGGCCGTCTTTGGGCGGGAGGCTCCGATTTTCGGTTCGGGCTCTCCCTCTCGGGCCCCTGTTGGGGCCCTCTTGGCCCTTCTGGGGAGCCTGTTGGGTCGTCGTGGCGCCCTGTTGGGCCGTCTACGAGGCAATTGGAGGTAGACGTTGCTCCTGGCGCCGCGCGGGGTTTTCTTGGGAGCGAAACGGCCAATTTAGACATCCGCCAACGCCCGTCCGAGATGCAGGCCCGAGCCCCATATAAGGGTTTTTGCTCAAGAAAAACAGTCCACGCTCCTCATTCCTCGTTCGCGCTCCCCGTCATGCGCCAACGCCCGTCCGAGATGCAGCCCCGAGCCCCATGTAAAGGTTTTGCCTCGAGAAATACGGTCCACGCTCCTCGTTCCTCGTTCGCGCTTCCCGTTTGGTCTTTGAAGGGGACGCCGGGTGGGGCTGGCATGTTGCATGCTGTGTGCAATGTCAGCACCCTCCAACCACCCTTTGCCACAGAAACAACACAACACGCACTTCGCACCAACTGGAATCCGCCGACACCACGTTCGGTCTCTAGGTGTGTGAGATTGTCCCCCCCCTAATCCCCACCCGAAGACCCCAAACCTCGATTTTGAGCCCCCCCCCCCTGGGCCCGGCACAACCTCCAATTGACAGCGCCACGGGGGCACGGAGGGCCTCAGAACGGGCAGAAAGGTCCCCCAAGGGGGCCCCAAGACGGTCCAAGGGGGCCCCGAGTCGCCGAAAGATCGAGCCGAGACGCCCAAGATGGCATCCAGACGGCCCAAGATGCCTCCAAGACGCTCCCAGAGGCCTCCAACATCTCCCCCAAGATGGCCCTAAGAAACACAAATCTCCCAATTCCCTTGGGGAAACGTATGGTTTTAGCACATTCGCCTCTCGGGCTTTCACTACGACCACGATGACCCAAGAGGCTTCCAAGATCGTCCCAAAACGGCCCAGGCGGCCCCCAAGAGGGCTCCAAGACGGCCCAAGAGGGCTCCAAGACGGCCCAATAAACCACAGAGACGCCCCAGAAGGGCCGCAGAACGGCGTTCAGATGGGGCCCAGAGGGGGAACCCGAACGGACATTTCGAGCCTTCGGCCCTAAGACGCCCCCAGGTTGCCCAAAGAAGCCCCCAGAGAACCCCGATTGGGGTTCCCCAAAAAACACACGAGGCCTCCATGAGGCCCCCAAGAGGTCAAGCAACTGCTTCCAGGACGCCCCCGAGGGGCCTCCCACGAGACCCATCAACCATCCGACTGGCCTCAGCCCCACAACCCAGGCACGGTGGCGGGGCGTTAAGAAGAAGGAATGACGCGGATCCAGAACAGTGGCCCTCGCTCGGAAGAGGGCGCGGCAGGAACGAACGACACTGGTGCGGACCAGCGGAAAGGCCCAGCTCAGACCAGGTGGATCACCCTGTAGCCTCTGCCTGGTCGCGTGCCCCGACATATGCAATGCAACCGCATCCGCCAACCCCTTCGGGGTCTCCAAACGTGTAAGATTCGCCCCCTGAACGGCCCAAAATGCCCCCAGAACATACAGCTCGGGGGTGGTCCCGAAGAGACCCGAGCCCGCCCCACCAAAGAAACATACGATACAAATACGCCCCAGGACAACAATAGGAAGTCCCCACGTCGGGAAAGGGGTCGGCGAATGTGGCGTAAGCCGATATAATCTAAATGACGAAAAATCCCAACACTCTAAATAAATGGTCGAAATGTCGTCCCAATGTTATGATTGACTATTCCTCTTGTAGAGGGTCACGCCCGACTTACGAATAGAGGACGCAGGAGGCTGGCTGTGGCGACCAGTGGGCCGTGAGCGGGGGCTGCAGGAGGGAGGGAGGGCACAGGAGATGGCTGTGAGAGGGGCCGTGAGAGAGGAGGGCGAAGGGGGAGGAGGATGGACCTGCTCCCTCCTCCTCCTCCGCCTCCAACTCCTACTCCTCCTCCGCCTACTTCTCCTTCTCCTCCTCCTCCTCCTCCTCCAACTCCTCCTCCTGCTCCTCCTCCTCCTCCTCCTCCTCCTCCTCCGCCTCCTCCTCCTCCTCGCGGGGGCCTTGTGCTTGAAGAAGATGTCCCCGATCGCCCGCGAGACGGCCAGGGACGCGATCTCGCGAGGAGGGCACGGACGCGTTCCCAGTGCATGGAGCCGTCGTCGGCAGCGGCGGCGTCAAGGCGTGGGCGTCGTCGTCAGCGACGGCGTCGTCGGCGTTGGCGTCGTCGACAACGTCGGCCTCGCCGTCGTCAACGTCGGCGGCGGCGTCGACGTCGTCGACGTCTTCAGGGTCGGCGTCGTCCACCTGATAGCTTCGAGCTACGGGCAGGCTTGTCGCGAGGGACTGATTCGTCGACCGAGGCGGGCGGAGAAAGCAGGAAACAACCGAACGGCGAGGACTGATGGCCTGATGTGGAGAAGGAGGCGGGGGCCTGGCGGCTGTTAATGCACTCACACGACCGTCGACGTTATCCTCCTCCGCCTCCGCCCTCGCTCCTCCTCCTTCTCCTCCTCCTCCTCCTCTTCGTCACCTCGACACTCGTCCTCCGTCGACTTGTCGTTCTCCTCGTGTTCTTCCTCTTCATCCTCCTTTCTGGTTCTCCTGGTGGTCGCCGGCGTAAGATGGCCTCCTTCCCAGCCTCATCCGCCTCCTCCTGCTCCTCACCGTCCTCCTTCTCCTCCGCATCCCCCTCTGAACAAACAACACTTGCCAACCCCACCGCCACCAGGGATACCTTGGCCCTAACAGACGACCTACCCCCCTGGGTGGGGGTGGGTGTCCTCCCCTCCGATGTTCGCGGCACCCATCCCCAACGAGAGGGGTGCTCTGGGAGAGCCGGCTCGCCCTGTTCCAGTCGGGGTTGGGACGACTCTGATGAGGCGCTCGTCTCCCTACTCCACGTCCTCCTCCTGCTCCTCCTCCTCCTGCTCTGCACTTCCTCATCGTCGCCCTCCCCCTTCACATGGCCCTCAGGCTCTCCTCCTCCCCGTGTGGCGAGGGGCCCTGCACTGCCGTGCTAACTGCAGAGCAGGATGGCTCAAAATTGGTAGCGTACAATGAAGCGTGTGTCGGCGCCATGGGTGGAGGAGTGAAGGACAAGGAGAGGACGAAGAAAGACGCGTTCTTCCTGTATGGTAAACCCGTATACGATGGATGCGCGTTGAACATGTAAAAACTTTGAACGGCCATGTGATGTGCTTAACAATGTTGGCAAACGGAACTTACGAGAGATAGGCCGCAAGGAAAAGGATGAAACGGTTTCCTTGTAAAGTCGCTCATCCTTACTACGCGGGTTCACTGTACCGCGCTTCACCAGATTGGTTGGCTGGCTGGCTGGCTGGCTGGCTGGCTCGCACATGCAGGCTCAGAGGTCTTGGTGAGCGTTTTCTTATTCGGCATTTCAACAGTGGGCAGAAGGGGGGGAAGAGGGGGGAGTCTGGCTCTGGACCTCTGCTTAGTGCGACTGTTTGCAGGAGTGCGTCTTATGGGGAAGAGACTCCACCTGCTTGAAGCAGGCGCCAAACACAGCCAAGACCTACTCCATAAGGTGGGGGGAGGGGGGGGTGCGAGGGGGGCCCGCGCCGATCGGCAAAACAACTAATAGAAAAAGGACAACTTGTGCGCCCGCTCCAAGTGTCACTCGATCCGTGCTCCATGAGCAGCACCATGAGTTCATGAGGAAGAAGGACGTGCTCGTCCTCCTCGACCCATTCTTGAGTCGCTGCCCCCGTCTCCAGCTGCTCCTGCTCTTCCCTTGCTTGTCCTGCGTTCTCATCATCCAGCTCCTTCTCCTCCTCCTCCCCCACGGCCACGACCGCAACAAGATGCAAAAACGATTGTTCAGGATGCAAGAACCGTACGGCCGTGTCCCGCTGGGCTCTTGCATCCTGAGCCAACAAGCGCGGCGCGTACAACTCCTATCGACTACACAAAAAGAGGGCGGTTCCGTGGCAAAGAAGCCTGCTGTCGCCTGGCACATATTTTAGCCGCGTGCTCCAAACTTGGCATGTCTCATCCGCCCCTGCACCTGAGCGATGTATGCGCGATTGCTGCCAGCATTCCGGCGGGGATCATGTAGCTTTCTAGGGCCGGTTCTGGAGACACCAAAAGAGTACCGATACCGCTACTCCCTGGACCTCTCCCGGCTACTCCAGGCGACTCCAGCAGTGGCGACGAGGGCCGCCCAGGAGGTCCAAGAAGGGAAGAGCAACAAGGGGAAAGTGGGGAAAGGGCAGCGGTAGGGGTACCATTTCCTCCTCTGAGGTTCACCGCCCTCGCTGCAGACGACCCAAGGGCTCCAGACGGCTCACGCCCGCAAAATGTCCGAGGAGCAGGTGCGCCGCAGAGGCGGCAACACAAAAAAACTCGGGGGTGCGCAAACATGGATTAGCGATCCATGGATTTGCCGCGCGGTCGCCAAGTCCATGGATCGGGGGAGGTGCCCTCCCCAAAATGCGGCCAGTGCCGCCTCGCTCGGCGGCGGGCATCCGCGATCCCCCATGGAAACGGGACCCGCCGCTAATCCACGCCACCTTGATCCATGTTTGCGATCGCCTGATCCTCGTGCTTTCCGACGCCGCCTCGTCGCGGCCCTCCAGGCTGGCACGCTGCAGAGCAGCTCCCTCCTGGCTGGCAGCTCCGACCAACGGCCTCCGACGGGCCATGGTGAGAGCAAAAGGTACCGATACCGCTGCTCCAGCGACCCCTCCCGGGGTGCGTCCTGACCAGAAGCTCGAGGCGAATCCAGCGGTGGCGATGAGGGTTTCCCAGGAGGCCCAAAAAGGGGAAAACGGGCGAGGGGGTAGAGGTAGGGGCACTCTCTCCTCCTCCGAGCCCACGCCCGCAAAATGTCCGAGGAGCAGCTCCCTCCCGGCTGGCAGCTCCGACCAACGGTCCCATGCGGCCCACGCCCGCAAGATGTCCGAGGTGAGGGGGAGGAGGAGGAGGAGGAGGAGGAGGAGGAGGAGGAGGAGGAGGAGGAGGAGGAGGAGGAGGAGGAGGAGGAGGAGGGTGAGGAGGAGGAGGAGGAGTAGAGGAGGAGGAGGAGAGAGGAGGAGGAGGAGAGGATAGTAGGAGGAGGAGGAGGTAGGAGGAGGAGGAGGAGGAGGAGGAGGTCAGGAGGAGGAGGAGGAGGGGAGGAGGAGGAGAGGAGGAGGAGGAGGAGGAGGAGGAGCAGGCGCGCCGCAGAGGCGGCCGCGGGGGAAGAAACGGGGCTCTCGCCTCGCACATGGCAGGCCCGTGCGTGGGGCGCTCCCTCGCCCTTCGGGGGGGCAGTCGAACGGCAGACAAGCCTCCCCCTCCGCCTCCGTCCCTCCCTCCTCCTCCTGCCTTCTCCTCCTCCTCCTCCTCCTCTCCTCCTCCTCCCTCCTCCTCCTCCTCCTGCTC